ACCAATTCCACGTTTCCATTTGTGCGGGTTTTATTTTTTTGTGTGCCTAATTATTTACTTGGTTGGAAAAATTGTTCTGTTTTGTTGCGTAAAACAACTAAACGTAAACTGGACATAGCACTGATCGAAAAGATGCTCGAAATGATTTAGGATATGACTCGAATTTGGCTGTCCGTGGTAATGTCAACATTGTATCGGATAGGAACCACAAACCGCGCAAAAATTATGATGAGAACCTTGTGTCTGTTCCCATAGCAATTGGATTGTTGTGGTCTGCGATACAACTTGATTAGCCTATGTTGACGTATAACATGATCCTTAGGGACCTGATAGAATAACGTCATCAATAACGCAGTGGAACATTGTTTCGAGTGCACAAACCATCGGGGATTGGTGTCCAGACGATCGTTGTCTAGACCCCACGAACGGAATCACAATCAAGCTAATGACCGTATTCACTGGCCATTCTCCTCATTATGAATGACGAATTGGTTACCGCTGTTTTTCAACTCCCNCGCCCCCCCCCCTCCCTAATTCAGGAAATATATCCCCATCTTTAGAAGACACTGAATAGGAAGAACTTCACAGGTAGATAGATATTATGGATACAGATCATGAGAGAAGGAAGATGGCCGAAAAGAACAGACGTAACTGTTTGCAGAAGCTCATTTTTAGATCATGTTGAGGTGCTCAAAGTGCGGAAGAACATTGACCAAAATGAACAATCAGCCGCTTGAACTAGTTATTTTATCTTACTCAATCGTTGTTAAGAAAATATCCGAAAATTCTGTGTAGCTATTCTACGTCACCGCAAGAATTACATGACATGAGCAGTGATGATCAGTATTGAGTTTTCAAAGAATTATACAGCAGGATAATCACTTAAAGCACGACAATAAAAGAGAAGCTTGTATGCAAATTGCCTGACATCAGGGCAGGTTAACCCAGTAAACAATATCGAAAAGTGAATTAATAAGCAGATTTCGTTCCTCGATCTATGCTTTTACGAAAACCGGAATCGCTTGAATACCCCAAGCAGTTGTTAGCTTGGCTATCGAACTATTTTACTGATAGAGCACAAACCACTAGATTGGTGAAGTCTTCATCTCCGGGGTTCTTCAAGGAGCTGTGCTATCCCCATACTTATTTTCCGCTTATATTATATTATATATTCTCTATGTTTCTCCCACACGGATTTTTAAATATACAAATGTACCAAACCATTTCTTCTTACTCCGATCCAAGCTCCTTCACCGACAATCTTGATCAAATTCAGCCATTTTCCTCCTCATCGGGGCTAACCCTAAACCCCACCCTACATGGGTTGAGTGTTTATATAGCTTTGCTTGCTCCCCGTATCCGACAGACCCCACAGTGATCAATAACAATCCTTTATCCACGGTGAACTCTGTCAACTATCTTGTGGTAACCATAGATAGCAATCTTCATTGGTCAACCCACATACACAACTGCATCGGTAAGCTGCATCGCCTTTCATTTCAAATACGAAAACTCAGGCAGTTTCACGCAGCCCAGTCAGTTATTTCCATCTTTGTTTATCAGTGTGTTTTCCCCATCTTACTCTACTGTTCCCCAGTTATTTTTCCTGGCTTACTCAAATAGGATGTGAAAGTCTTACACTGCAGTCTAACTATCATTATCCGTGCTATGCAACTGAATTATATCCACGCCACTAACACATTAAGAATGAAAGAATAACAGATCCACCGGTGTGATTTCCTTTTTCATCCCATATCTCTGTCAAATTATGCTTCTTGGTCACTGGACTGCACCGTTTTTTTTGCGAGATCGTCTTATCATGTGGGTAATGGAGGATTTGGTTAAATTTCAAATGGGAATTCGTCGTGTATATATAGCAAATGAAGCGTGAAATGAAAAGCTCGGAATCACTGGACAGCTGTTTCGACCTGGCTGGGTCTCATCAGCAATGCGAATCCATCGACCAGACAGGGGATCGAACCCGGGACTTCA